TCTGAATACTTTCTAAATGCACTGTATATACAGGTATATAGCCTGGAATTGTACTGTTGATGTCAAGAAAGCAAAAGGTCAGAATGAGTTGATGTTAGTTAGATGTTAAAAATAATCAAATAGGGTTTTTTTAGATATGTTGAACAGAAAATATCCAGTATACCAGTTGCTCAAAGAAGAGGGCAAAATGCTAATGGATAAGAAAAATAGGCAGAGTTACCCAATTCCTATGTTTGATCATCTCAAAGCCCCCTCACCAATTCCCCCCCCCCCAAATTCCATTCCATCAGGAAATTGTGAAAGGCAGAACTGAAGCTTGAGATTGACAGAAATATAGCCAGAGTATTTTTTTTTACTTTGAATTTTAAATCTCCATGACCAGATGAATTGCATCCCTTGACACTAAAGGAGCTAACTGATGATCTGTCAAACCCTTAGTATTTGAGAAATCCTGAATGAAGTGCCAGATAGTTGGACGACAGCAATTGCTGTTCTTGTAGTCAAAGGAAAAGATGGAGGAGGGGGAAAGTCCAGAAACTACAGACCAGTCACTCTGACACTGATACTTGAGTAGATTCTAGAGCTGATCATAAGGAGATCTGTATGGATCTTGAAAAAAATTACCAGAAGTAAGCACAAATTTGTCAAGAAAAATTAATACCAGGCTAATCTTATCTCATTTTTTTAGTGTGTAAGTTCTTTAATAGATTGTGAAAATGCTATAGACATAATATACCTTGACTTAAGCAAAGCATTTGGCAAAGTATCTCATGATATGTTGATTAGCTAGTTAGTTTAATGTAGGATGAATGTGACAAGCAGATTCCAGTTGAATGTTAGAAAAAAGTTCCTAACAGTAACAGCAGTTCAACAGTGGATCCAGAGAGGTAGGGGGTTCTCCTTTACTGAATTTGTTCAAGCAAACATTAGTCAACCATCTATCTGGGAGGCTTTAATATGGATTCCTATACTGAACAGAGGGTTGGCCTTAATAGCCTAAATGGTCACTTTCAACTCTGTGATTCTGTGAAAGGCTATGATGGTGACTAATGCCAGCATGGGTAGTCTCAGGATGGTTTTATGGGCATTTAGTGTCTGATTTCACAAGTGCACTGTTTCTACTGAATTCAAGTGTACCATGAGAGCTAAGTGAGCTTTTTGTTACTGCTCTGATAATTTTGATGTGGCAAATTATATATTTCTTAGAGTGTAGAGTTCTAGAATACTTTTTCTCTGGAGTCAACAGAAGATAGCAGAAAAAAAAAAAAAAAGACAAGGCAGTGATGCAAATTGGTTACAGAAGCCTAAATAGTGTGACTGAAAAGGGGGAAAAGGTATGAAAGTACAGGATTTATCTCGGCAAAGGCAAGAAAGGAGCTGGAGAGAGGATACCTCCAAGAATCAAACAAGAAATAGTTACTATTATGCCCATCTGCGCTACCTACTTCATTTTACTATTTTATTTTCTCCTATTTTTGTAATATTTTTAGAAAAAAATATTTTAAGCAATTGCCCACAGATCTTCAGTTACTACGTAGATCTGAAGAATAAAAAATAAATGAAGGCACTAAGTTATTGAAAGACTGGTACAACCCTAAAACAAACTTTTATAGTACATAAAATGCATATAAGCAGGTAACAGTATAATACACTGAATATACTGAATGGCCTTGACTTTTTAGGTATAAGGTTGCAAGCATATTCCTGTAGAATACAAAGATTTGTACATCTATTTCTGGAACCTCATGATATCATCCCTGTCACAGAGAAAACAAAGATTAGCAATTCACACTAGCTTAATAAATCTCTATTAATTCACCTTGAATTCCGTTACTGACTTGTACTCATTTGCTGCGATTTTTTCTTTCATTGTACCAAAATCCATAGGATGTTTTATTATCATGGAATATCCAGGAGCAATAGCATCCGTGACTGGAAAAGCAAAAAAACCATGAGGATCTTTCCTAAAAAAAGAAAGAAAGAAAGAAAGCACAGAAACTTAACATTATTTTTAGGCCTAATATTGCCCACACTATATTAGTTATGTCAATTATCAACTTTCTGCAATATGGTGCAATGCCTGAAGGCAAAGCCAAGGAATGGGAAACATAAAAGTACTGAAATACAATCCCTAACCCATCAAACTGCCAAAAATCTTAGAGCATCTAAGAGCATCAAATAAATATCTGAGCATAACAAATATTCAGTTTGTGCCATTACTTCTAGCTGAGGTGTGCAGGCTTGTGACAAAAATAAGAAAACATTTTGTTTTTGTTCCTAATGAAAGCATAAGTAATCTCCATAGTATTTTTACAACCCTCTCCAGCTACATAAAGCAGCCTTTCTCAACCTTCTGACCCTAGAAGAACCCTTGAAATATTTTTCAGGCCTTGGGGAACCCTTGCACATTCAGGCTGTAATATAGGCCAGAAGTTACAAATTTATTATATTCATTTCATGTGTACGCCTGTATGAGGGCATTAACAGTGTTCCTAAACTAAAAATAAAGAATGAAACATACCTCTTTAATGTGAAAACTCTGCTTGTTTTTTGCTGCACAAATACTCAATTCTGGGCCATGTATGAAATTTATTTAAAATAATGGGATAAAATAACTACAGGAAAACAGCAGGGAAAATATGCGGGAGGGAGTGACCGACGTCACAGACTAAGTTGGATGAGTCCATTAATTTTTTGAAAAATGCACTTCTCCCTCCCCTTCCTTCAATATATTGCTCCTTTACTGTAATATATACCTCCCTTCCTGCAATTAGCACTCACCTGTTATCAACAGTCTCCCCTATCTCGCACCAAAAATTAAGAATGGATTCAACCAAATAAACACAGTCTTACAGTGCACTACCAGAGAGCTCAGAAAGAGTTGTAACTAGATTTTTGTTTGGTCTCTGCTCATCACTGCAAGAGCTCGTTGCCTGAATTTGAAATAATTTTTTAAATAAATCATGATCTCCCAGGAAACTCCTAGTGACCTCTCGCGGAACCCTAGGGTTCCATGGAACCCTGATTGAAAAACCCTGAGATAGAAAGTAAGGCAGCAATTACACTGCCTGGCAATCTCTTTCAGGCTGCTAAGATGGAGTCTATTATGTTCAATCACACACACCTTCCCCCCAGGACCATCTGCACAAAGAAGACATGCCCTCAACACCCATCTTCCTGCTCTATGATTTTTGGATCTCATACAGCTCCATTTCAAGAGTTTTGTTCCATTCTCCTTTGGGCTGCTTCAGTGGTCTTGAATCTGCCCAGGAACAAACAGGCTGCAGCAGCCAATGCTGCCTAGAATCCATTTTGGGTCACCAGCAATCATTATCATCCTTCTTCCCTCAACCTCTCTCTTCAAAATTGCCTGCTTCCCCCTTGCCAGCAGATCAGCTCCCTTTTCTTGAGAGAAAGTGTCTATCTGTGAGAAAAGTGTCACGGAATCATAAAAGTGTAGAGTTGGAAAAGACCACAAGAATCATCTGGTTCAATCTTTTCCAATGTACAGGAAAACCAGTTAAACTTTTCTTGAGAAGTGGCTGTCCAACCTTCCCTTAAAAACCTCCAGTAGTGGAGAACCTACAACCTTCCTAGAGAAACTGTTCCACTGTTGTATGCATCTTATGGAAGTTTTTTTCTTTATATTTAAATGAAATCTACATAGCTGCCACTTGTATCCATTATTTCTAGGTCTACTTTCTGTATCATTGGGTTCCTGACCATCTTCCCTAAGGCACCCTTCTATATGTACCTAAATAATGATTTTAAATGATTCTTCTTTTCTCTAGACTGAACATTTTCAGTTCTTTCATCTTGTCCCTACAGGGCACGTCCTCAAGTCTATATATCATCTTTGTCATCCTCCCCTGAACTTGTTCTAAATTGCCAATATCCTCGGGATATGTAGTACCCAGAATCGTAAACAGAACTCCAGGTATGGCCCTACTAGTGCAGAATAGAGGGGAATAAAGATTTCACACATCTTTGATACAACAACTGTAATGCAGCCCAGGAATTGATTAGTCCTTCTAGAAGCTGACTTACATTGCTTACTCATGTGCAGCTTGTTGTCAATGACATACCCAAATCCTTTTCAAAAGTAGTGCTTCCAAGCTAAAAATCCCCCATCTTCTATGAATGCACTATATTTTTCCTCCCTAAATTTTATCTTATATTTATCCCTACTGAAAGATACCTTGTTCCTCTTATCCAACTCTTCCAACTTCTCCATATTAGATTGCAATCTTGTTCTATCTTCCTGAGTTGGCCAGACCTTCCAATTTTATGTCATCCATGAATTTGATAAGCAGCCTATCAATTCCATTATCAAGGTCATTAATAAAAATGTTGAATAATACTGGCCCAAAAGAGATCCCTGTGGGAAACCATTGGCTACTGTTCTCCAATTCAATGTAGAGCCATCAATGTTGACTGAGAGTGCAGTTAGCCAATTGTGACCCAATTTACTGTAGGACCATCCAAACCACACTTTAGCTATTTGTCAATGAAAATGTCACATGGAACCTTGTCAAAATTTTGCTGAAATCACAGTAAATTATATTTGCTGCATTCCCTGTTTACTAAAATAGTTGCCTTCCTAAAGTCCAGGGTTTATATTTGACTGTTTTTTAAAATCTATCTGTTAAAATCAAGAATTCTAATAATAGTCACTTTTACTCAATAATAATAATAGTCACTATTTTACCCACCACTTTGAGATCTTCAATCAACTACTCTTAGTATAGACCAAATCCAAGGTAGCAAATCTTCTAGTGTCCAACTTTACCTTTTGAAAAAGAAGCTTATCACCAACAGAAATCAGGAATTTATCTGACATCTTGTTTATGGCAGAATTAGTTTTCCAACAGATGTCTCCATGTTTTTTTGAGGCTTTATTTATCTGCTTTAACAAAATTTCTTCCAACTGATTTGGTGATCTGCAGTAATATCCTAGTAAGATATCCCTTCTGCTAGCTTGTCTTTTTATCTTGACCTAAATGCATCCAACACTTATGTTACCAACAATCCAGTGAGCCTTTTATCAGCCCTTCAATACAGGCAAAATCAAGAAACAAAAGCATAAAGGATTCCAGGAATGTTCTTTATTGTTGTAGGATAGGATAACAGAATCTTGAAAGCCTGTCAGAGTTTCTCTCTGCCCCATCTTATACGAAATAAAATCAAAGTGGGGTTATTTTGGGTTTCTTTTTAATACAGAACTTCTCAGGACTGAATTGCCATTTCTCTCAATGTTTCATTGCTTTCTTCCCCCTTTTAAAAGTCACATCACCACCCCCAACAGAATCTCTTCCCATTCCCATATGTGAAGCTGGCCCAGGCAACTCATCAAGGAAAATGGACACATAATCATTCCCCTCCTCCCTCGCTTGAAGATGGGCCCAGCAGCTCGCCAACATCAGTGGAAAAGTCTGACAGCGCAGAACTAGATGGAGCTAGAAGGTGCCTATCCCCACCTTTGCATAGCAAACACAACTGGAGAGTCTGACATGACTGGAAGCTGATGTCTGGTGATTTTGGAGATGTGGTTTGTGGGGCAATTTCAGATGGAACTGACAGGCAAGTTATGGTGTCTGGACATCCTTTGTTCCCTCCCACCAATTCTTTGAATAAGTTAGCTTTCCAGTGAATATATCCACTTGGTAGTCCTCTTTCCCATCTACCAGAACCAGGGGTGGTGGTAGGGTGAGACAGTAGAAGGAACAGGTGCAGAATGCAAGAGACAGAGTGGGCCCATCTCAAACAGGGGGAAACTGATGAGATATTGGATGAACCTTCATTGAAGAAGGCAATTGCAGACAGAAGGCCACTGGGCTAATTTGATGTTTAACAGGGAAAGGGACTATAAATTTTGTTTTGGATAGGTGGGAGGAAGGCAAAAACTTAGTAGAAAGCTACTCTAAATCCTCCATTGTAATCTTGGTGCTGTTTTGCCTAAGCACATATGGTGCATGTTTCTATATAGCCTTAGCCAAATCTAATTGGTCCTTTAAGAGGATCTATGCAGCTTATCTCTCCTGGAAAAAGTCAGAAATTTAAGGAACAATGGAAGCAAGAGGTCTGAGGACAAGATGCTTAGTGGTGGTGGCGGTGGTGGGGTTAATTGTTAGACAACCCGATATAGGTAGTCCCTGGGTTAAGAAAGCCTGGGTTATAGACGACTCACAGTTAAGAATGGAGCCTACTGTAGCAAATTTTAAGTTAAATACCCAATGATTTGAATTAAATACACTATGGTTCAAGTTCATTACACAATACTACTTATATAGTATTATACAGTAATACTCTTCCGGCTTACGTACAAATTTGACTTAAGGACAGACTATGAGAACTCGTTCTTAAACTGGTGACTACCTGTAGAGGAATGCTACAAGTTGCTATAGGTGAATTCTCCAAGAGGCAATAATTCAGTTCAGTTGTCCTGTTGATAAGAGACACAGCAGCACAAACATCGTTCAAGTAATGTGTTCACCTTCTCCTCTCCCCTTAGATTTCAGACAATGAGAGGAGGACAAATGGATATAAATGTCCAGTAAGTGGAAAAGGGCCCTCCAAAACTTGGGGGTAAATTAAGAACCATGATTCGAGATCATCTACCTGTACCAAGCAATGTGGTCCATAAACGGTTGCAGAGTCTCCTGAGCTGAGAGCAGACCCTTGCAAGGAATAAAATAAGTCATCTTGGTAAGGAAATCCCCTACCACCAAAATGGTCATTGCATAGTTTTCTTGCGGACGTTTCATTACCCGACTAGGTAACGTGTTCAGTGCTAGCACGTCTGCAAGAAAACAACCAAGCTCAGAGAACACCAAGGACTCCACAGTTCAACCCTGAGCTACATATATTCTCTTCTACTGATCATTGCATAGCTGGAAGATTGATAATAAAACTCAGGGAAACTGTCCCATGGACTAGGAGGAAAGGGGAGTGGCTGGGCCAAACTTTAGCCCAGCAACAGACATGACAGGATGACATATAGTCTTTGACATCTGCCTTCACCCTTGTCCACCAAAACTCTCTGAGCACAAATTTGCTTACCTGAAAATAAGTTCTAATATTTTCAGTAAAGCTTACCTGAATTCTGTTCATGTAGGTGAGATATACTGAAGATATGTCAGCAGGGAAGAGAAAGCTGACTGCAAATTTTTAAGTTCAGCATTACTTTATTAACTGTTAATGTATGCATTTTATTTCCTCTGGTCCTCAACTAGAGCTGTGCAGCACTTTGAATTCAGTCTTCAAAAGATGATTTGGAGGGTCTGGGAGCTTCAATATGTTACAGAGAGACTATGGTTGCTTTAAGGTGTTGCAGACAAGTTTGGGCTCATCATGCTCCAAAGCCCTGTTAGATCAAATCCAAAACACTTCCCTACCTTGTTTGGTTCAATAATAAATAAATATTAAAGTGTCCCTGTGAAGAATCTCCATAGAGTTAAGCTATAGAGGGGAGAATGTTGAATGTTCTGAGCATTCATGTTTCTAACTGGGATTCCTATTCATACTTTCAAACAAGATTAAAAAAGACATGAATCTGAGTGACAAATTTGCTTCTACTATATCTAAACTTATACAAACTCTCAATAGAAAATAAAATCAACTTTAAAATACCTCTTAATCACAGAGGACTCATTAAGTTAAACAGCTAAATTTGAAAACTCAATATAGCAGCTACACATCTTATTTTATTTATATATTATATATTCTTACCTCTGTAACTGACGAAGAAAATGTTCCAATAATTGTTGGATAGGAGTGCTCTCATTTTCTGCTATAATTCAACATAAAAAATAGGTTTTGACAGTAATTTTCATATTTCTCACAATTCTAATACTATAACCTATTCATACAGAGAGCTTCTTAATTTACAGGTAGTCCTCAACTTACAACAGCAATTGGGAACTGAATTTCTATCACTAAGCGATGTGGTTGTAAAATGCGACTGCATCGCTTAGCGATGGCAATCCCTGCATTCCCAGTGGCCATTGTTAACTGAATCCCACAGTTGTTAGGCAAGACAACTACCTGCCGGCTTCCCATAACCAAAGTCAGTGGGGAAGTTGGCAGGAAGTTGCAAGTCCCAGGGCCGCAGGCAGGTAAGTGGCTGCTGCTGGGTGAAGGAGGGAGCAAGGAGGTGCATGGGGGAGGGTGCGCAAGAGGCGTGGCACAGTGAGGGTTGCAAGGGTGCATGAGGGATGGTCGAGGAAGATGTGTGAGAGGCACCATGCAGATCGGGAAGGGTGCGAGAGGCTGCAAAGAGGTTTCTGAGAGGCGCGGGTTGAGGAGGGTGCATGAGGGTGTGTGAGAGGCCCCATGCGGATCAGGGAAGGTGTGAGAGGGTGCATGAGAAGTGCCATGAGGGTTGGGGAGGGTCAGGAGGGTTGTGCGAGGGGTGCCACATGGGTAAGGGAGGGTGTGTGAGAGGCACAGCACTGGTCGGGGAGGGTCAGGAAAGGTGCATGAGAGTGCGAGAAGGTGCACAAGAGGCACAGGTCGGGGGGGTGTGAGGAGTGCAAGAGAGAGGTACAGCATGGGTTGGGAGGGTGCGAGGGAGTGCGAGAGAGGTGCCATGTGGGTTGGGGAGGAAGCACAGAGAGGCATGGTGCAGGTTGGGGAGGGTCAGGGAGAGTGCACGAGGGTGTGAGGTGTGTGAGAGGTGCAGGTCAGGGAGGGTATGCAAGGGTGCGAGGGGGTGCACAAGAGGCACGGTACTTGTTGGGGAAGGTTGGGGAGAGTACACAAGAGTGCGTGAGAGGTGCCACGCAAGTTGAAGAGGGTGCGAGGGATGTGTGAGAGGTGGCGCACAGATCAGGGAGAGTGCGTGAGGGTGTGTGAGAGGTGCCACATGGGTTGGGAGGATGTGCGAGAGGTGCTGTGGGGGTCAGGAAGAGGGTGCAGGGATGCATGAGTGGTCTGTGCAGGCCGAGTACAGAGGGGCTGGGGGAGGATGCATGGGAGGAGGAGACTTACCCCAGCAACTTGCAACCTTCCCTGCCAGCTTCCCCACTGACTTTCTGGGGA